TATCGATCTGGGGAATGAGCACTACACGTGTGCTGCAACACGCTGTTTTAGGCGTAGGGAGGGGCTCACTCTGGAGGATAATATAATGTTTCATGACGCTCGTGTCTTGAGCTGAGAGAGAGAGAGAGAGAGAGGGGGAGAGAGAGAGAGAGAGAGAGAGAGAGAGAGAGAGAGAGAGAGAGAGAGAGAGAGAGAGAGAGAGAGAGAGAGAGAGAGAGAGTCATAAGTCGGATATACAGCGAAATCGGAGAAGAAGAAGAAGAAGAAGAAGAAGAAGAAGAAGAAGAAGAAGAAGAAGAAGAAGAAGAAGAAGAACAAGAAGAACAAGAAGAAGAAAAAGAAGAAGAAGAAATTGTAATGGGGTTATTACGCTTGACTCTTTAATGGTGAGAGCAATTAAGATCCCTCTCCTCCGACAATACCCGTCGAATGACTAGGAACAAGGGAAAAACAATTAATTGTGGAAGTGGCTTTTGGACTCTGTTTAGATGAGTGAAACGTCTCAGACCTTCCACCTAGCACTGTATCCGGGGGGTTTGTAGTCGGCCTGCTCTTAATATATATATATTTTTTATTGAGTGTCATATTTTTTGGTAGTGATTGCAGGCGCGGTTCGTCCATTGAGCACGGTCGTGCAGTGCCGTCTAATATTTTGTCATGTTCTATTGCGTAAAGCATCCACCAACATAAAATAAAAGAAGCAGCAACAAGCACTAGACAAATATTTTATCAATACAAGGTCCTCACTAGCGCCTTCACGGCCACTACTTTGTCTATAAGCACTGTAAACCGTATACTATGCCATGTCAAAGTCCATAGTAATAAGTATAATATGGTGTTCAACAGTGGTAATCTCTCCTATAAATCGCTTTTTGGGCTGGCCAAAACGATGACGACACTCGTAGCGAGTTTGGCGGTACATTAATATTAACAAGACCGCACGTCTCAAAAGTGCACCTGCCGACTAGTGCCGAAACACGGTGTGTGGTGGAGTGGTGAAAGTGTTATTATAGCTTGAGTGTTCAGTTCCAATGCAGGATGAACGAAAGTAATTGTTATTGTTAGCTGCTAACAAATCGATTTAGTTCTACAAACCAAAATTACCTAAAAAAGAAAAAAAGAAATGAAAGTAAAATCATTAGGTTCTCGCCAACACAAATGTGTTAAAACTAGCTGGGCCCCCTTCCGATGGAAAGTCATTGGTCTAGATCTATATATTTACTACTGGAATGGAGCAATAAATCTTGAGAGATGCAAACAATAACTTAAGAAGGTCTATATCTAGATCTATACACTGAAAACAAAATGCGTCTCCCGAAATATCACTTCCGGCACTGTCAAGGACAGCTACGCAGATTTGTTTCGTTTCTCTGTGGAATAATCACAAAAGCCAAAGAAGGACGGGAACTTTTTGTCAAATATATGTTTTATACTTAGACCAAAGACTTCTCCAACCCTGCTCACATCTGACATGCGTCGTATCGTGTCTGTCACGCTATCTTAGGGAACTGGCCAGGAAGGATGAATACATCTTTTTCTTACTGGTCTACATTGTACTCACTCACTCACACACACACACACACACACACACACACACACACACACACACACACACAC